CCTCCCGATCTACCGGGGGAATCAAGCCCCTCCCCTGTCACGGCAGAGACCCGTGACAGGATCGAGAGGTGAGCGAACGCCGGTATGTATTCGCTCACCTCCCGATCTACAGAGCCGACCTGTGACAGTCTCATTGTCACAGGTCGGCTAGAACTATGAGGAGGAGTGAAAAGCACCCCCCCCCCTCCCCCCCTCATAGTTCTCCTTTAACTCTTCTGTGTAATGGAAAAGCTTCAATCAGGCTCTAAGAAGCCGTCCTTAATCTCCAGTCAGTGACTCTGCCTAGGCTGAGATGATGTCATCAGTCTGCTGCAGGCAGGAGGAAGCATTTCCTCAGTCTCCTCTCCCCCAGTGATCAGTCTGCAACATTGTAACGTTGTTGTAGTCACCGCTCCAAGCTCCTCCCCCCCCGGGGTGGAATACAACCTCAAGACAAATTAGTAAACTAAACATGAGGTTGTAGTCCATCCCGGGGGGCGGAGCTTGGAGCGGTGACTACTTTACAACACACACCGGGACCATGGGGAACAGACGTAGCCCCCCCCCCCCCCCCCACAAAGCAAAATGAGGAAGCTGGACTCCTATTCTGCTTGCTGGGCACTAATTAGATTGTAATAACCTGGATGTTTAATCACACTCTTGGCCCCTGCAAGGTACCGGCCAGGGATTACACAATGCGCTTGTTTTCAGCAATGTCCTGATATACAGGAGCTGCGTCTGACTAAATTAGAGGGGAAGCGATATCGTTTATTTGTGGGGTTTTTTCTTCTCTTGAGTTCTGTTGTAAAAAAAATTTTTTTGAAATAAACTTTTTTGGGGATTGCTAGGTAAGGGTCTGGAAGCAATTATCTGACCTAAGATACAGTAATGTTAATAGTGGTAAATACAGCAATGTATAAAAAAAAGAATAACAGGGTTATTCACAAAGGAGTGAAGAGTTTGGAGAAGGCCGGATCACCAGGGGTCACATATGCTACCCTGTCACCTGCTAACCCCCCCCCTCCAGAAGGAAGGACAGTGTCAGAGATGATTGGAGGATCTACAGCCGAGTGATACACAAATCAGATACATTGTTGCTCGGAGTTCAGGGACTCGGAGGGATTTTTAGGATTTAGCTCCAGAGTTTCGTGTCACTTTAACGTGGAGACGGTTGCTGAGCTCAGCTCGGAATCTTCCATATGAAGTGACGCCGTCGAGTGTGCGTGTTTCTAGTTCTCAGACCCCAAAATCCAGTGACCGCAGTGATTTTGGGGGTCTGAGAACTAGAAACACGCATAGGTGCGTGCTCCTAGTTATCTGCTCCCAAGGCACAGAGTGTTTAAGGTGTATTGCGGTCATAGGTTAGTGAGCTCCTAACTTCCCGTGAACTCTCTCTGTGCTGCACTCCTATCATTGTTCTCAGTGCTCTCAGTACACTACAGATCCCCACCCCCCAATGTTATGAAGGTGAGGAGGAGGTGTTCTTCCTGTCTTAGATTGACAACACCGCTCCTCCATGGCTACAGTACAGTCCGTGAATCTTTTCACGCTCTAGGAAGTGTGAATCCTGGCTGAACGTTGGGTGAATCTTGTGTGAACCCATATATCAATAGACCCCTTCATAACCTCCTTAGCTCTGTGTGCGTCTGAAATGCAGCGGAGGAGGGAGACTGCCCCCCCCCCCCCCACCGC